AAAAAAAAATAAAAAAAACAAAAAACTCCCCCAACTGAAAGAATTTTACATGGAAGAGAGGTCAAACATTTCAACAAACCAGTGTGAGAGACTGGACAGCAAATATGCAAAATACTCAGAGGAAGTTGTTTCTGCTTAAGAAAGCAAATACTGCCTCTGAGGCTATGCAGAGACACACTTTTTTCCACAGAAGGAGCTTACATTTATTGATATTTTTGGTTAATAAACAAATAAACAGAACATATTTTCTTGTGTTGTTGTTCAAGAATGCTGTATCGCCTGTTATTATAGGCACTGTTTCAAAGAGGGTCAAATGTTTGCTTGTCCAAGGACATCAGAAAGCCAACAAAGTCCAAAGCCAAATACACTCCTTTCTTTCTTTCTTTCTTTCTTTCTTTCTTTCTTTCTTTCTTTCTTTCTTTCTTTCTTTCTTTCTTTCTTTCTTTGTATTACAAAGCAATTTCTTTATTTTATATTCACCTAATTTCCACATTATGTTTGCTTATAGTTTTTATCACACACTCTAGTTTAAAACCATATTATTTTCATTTTCACTCATCGTATGTAGATTATATATGTATATATTTTTTAACTTCTCTGTATTCAATTATTTCCCAACTATCTGGTCTGCAGTGGGAATCATTAGTCTACTTTTTGTTGTCTTTATTTTCATCATCATTATCTTAATTTGGACTAGGCTTTGTTTAAAAATGGTTAATTTTCCACTTTTGAAACACCCTGCAGAAGGTCTATGTACATTTTCTTCAATTAGTGCAAAGCAGTCATTGAAAGCACTGACATGTGTTAACCCTCTAAACCTCAAAAGAAAGACTTGTTTTCATTTTTAAAAAATACCAAAATGTCAACATTAATCAGAGCTGGAAACTGCAAAAACAGAAGGAACTGCCAGATTTCAAACATTGCTACGATTCTTCATTGTGTCATGGAAAAATAATCAAATCAAAAGTTTCAAATTCTGCTATTTTATCAAAATCACTTTAGTCTACATGCCTCATTTAAAATTTTGCCAAAAGTTCAACTGCTTTGCACTAATTAGATTCTGTAAAAACAGCAACAAAGAAAATTGCACACAGTGCAACTGTGAAGCCATTAATGACTCAGCTGTGATTAACAGTGGAGTGACAAAGATTCAGTGACTTTTTAGTTAAACTGCAGGCAGCAGATAGGAGGAAAGTATTCATATTGAAATCTTTTTTTTTTGTAAAATCATTATTTTTGAAATTATAATTGAAAAAAAAAAAACTTATTTATGACATTATAACTGGGTCCTATTGCACAAAATACATGTTTGAGTTCTGCTGTTTCCTTAGAGGTGTAGGACTGACCTTTATCTGTAGGTACTATTTCAAAGATTATCAAATGTTTGCTTGTCCAAATATATTTTAAAAAGCCCAAAAATAAATATATAAATGATTCATTTAATTTTTACAAATGACACTTATCAAATTGTCATACAGGTTTTACACATCTTTACTTAAATCTGTGACTTTGACCTAAGAAATCATGACACCATTGATTTTAAAAGTTATTTGTTGATTTTATTTTAACACAGAAGGAAACTAATTCAAAAATGCAAATAGCTAAATATCTGTAGCATAGGAAGCACTATTTATTGATTTATTTATTTTTAATTATAATTATTATTATTATTTTGCCCCAGTTTGATAACACTTGTGGCAAAAATGTTGTACATGCTGATTCCTGGTTTTTTTCCCTCTAAAATATAAACTCAAATGTATTTTTAAAAAAAAGTTTTATGGCATTATAACTGTATAAATGTATAAGAGTATCAAATTGAATTCCCCTTCTGGGATAAATAAAGTATTTTTCATTTCATTCATTTCATGTTTGTTTGTCCAAATATATTTTAAAAAACACCAGAAAAGGGATTCACTTATTTTTTCCAAATGACATAAATCAAATTGGCATATAGTTTACACACATCTTCATTTAAATCTGTGACTTTGATCTAAGAAATCAGGTTTACTGGCACCATTGATTTTAATAGTAATTTGTTAATTGTATATTAACACAGGAGGAAATGATAGAATCTAATTCAGAATGCAAATAGCTTAATATCTGTAGCATGGGGGGCACTGGTTTTCTTTTGTCCCAGTATGACAACACTTGTGGCACAAATGCTGTACACGTTTAGTCCTGTTTTTTTTTTTTTTTTTCTAAAATATAAACTCAAATAAATAAACGAAGGCATTCTAGCTGTGAACATGTTTGAGTCCTCTCTCCTCCTGGCCAGGGGGGTTTACTGGCTCCATTCAGGTGCAGGACTTTATATTTCAGTGAAAAACGAGCCCACAGTGAGTTAAACCGCCCCAAAAAGCTGTTTGGGGTTCACAGGGTTAAAGTCCTCCATCTCTCCAGGTTGCTATATTAAAAAAGAAAAAAAGAAAAAACCCCACAGAGGAGCGTTTTCTTCCGGAGCAGCGTACCCCGGTTCCCCCTGCCGGAGAGCAGCGGCATCTGGGAGGGAGGAGAGAAAGAAGCGAGCCGAGAGAAAGCGGAGGGAGGAGAGAAAAGGCAGCAGCGCAGCGAGCAGTCGGAGCCCGCAGGAGAGGAGGTGAGTGATGTGGTATGTCGGGAATGTTTTTAACTGTGATATACAGAGTTGGTGCTCGCTACGGTTTTCTACTCTGAAGCTCAACGTGAAAAGTAACTTTCCGTGTTGTTGGCGTCGCGGTGTTTCGGGCTGCGAGGGGCCCGCTGTGTGGCGAACAAGTCGGGGAGGTGGGGGAGAGCGGAGTGGGAGGCTGGCTGCGGCGGCGGCAGATGGGAGCTATTCACGGGGAGCCGGCGTGTTCGGAGTTTACGACCCACAGGGCTTACTTGTGTCCGTGTGTGTGAGCCCGGTCAACCAGCTCCTCTTATCAGGGAGGGAAACGTTGGCGAAGCAGACAGTCGGCAGACGGGGCGGCCGTTCGTCGCTGCTCCGCTCCGGCGTTAGCTGCTTGAACTCGACCGCTGTGTCAGGGATTTACCGGCTGGATGTGGACACAGCAGAGGTGGAAAAATAACATTTTCTGAAACGCAGCGACTCTTAAACGTGTGCTGTCTTCATACAGAGAGCCAGTGTCAGGTAAGCAGCTTTAAATAGTCGACCTTACATCCAAACTTAACCGACAACCGCATAAAAACAACAGTGTTTCGGCCCAACACACCTGAACATAAACAGCAGCCACCACTTTAGTACTACGCTGTATTTATTATGAGCTAAACGTGTTTAAATGGTGGTTGTCTCTACTACTGAGTTTTAGTTCAGTTGCGCTGTTTCTCTGCTGTATAAAGAGCTGCAATGGAAAACTGATTCATCACCAACTACTTTAATAATCAGTCACTCTAAGTCATTTTTTTAGAAAGAAAAAAAAGTTAATATTTTTGATTTCAACAACTCAGTTTTCAATATTTTCTGTTTTTTTTTACTCCTATATTAGAGTAAACTCTTTAGGTTGTAGGTAAAACAAAGACATTTGAGGATATATTTTGGGCTCTGAGCAACACTTTTTTTTTCTCGAATTTATACACCAAATACCTGTTCATTAATTGAGAACTGATTAATCGATGGGAGAATAAGGGGTGGTTGCAGTCTGGTGTTGCACAGTCAGACCATTCTGCAGCACACAACCAGGCAGTGCTGCAGAATGGTCTGACTGCACCTCATTACTCCTCTGCTATGCCAAAAAAAACCACATCTGGCTTGTTTGGTTTTCTTTCAACCAACCGCAGTCCTTTTGGACAAGAGTATGCAGTAAAGGTGTCGTCTCAAAATAGTGACAGGGAATTGTTTCTGGTGGAACATTTGCATGCAGGGAGGTGTGCTGCCTTCAGAATCAGATTTATTGCCAAGTAGATTTTCACACGCAAGGATTTTGACTCGTTGTTTTTAGTGCATAGCAATAACGGTAACATATAGATTAAAAGAAGTGTTGTGCTATGTGAGTTAAGTTTTTCGTAAAACATAAATTTGGAGGTTGTTGTTTCCCGTCGTGATGGGGATTCTTGGAAAACAGCAACTTATAGATAGCGAAAGGGGAGGAAAAATCTGTGTGAAGTGTGCGGCCAGCTGGAGGCTTATATCTGCAATTTGCATCTGGTGAGGCAGCCTGGTTGCAGCCCTAATTACAAACTTATCTCGTAGATTTGTTACTATATCAGTGTTTTTATTCATTAATCATTCAGTGTGTGACAAAACAGATCTCACTGTGACATCTCAGCGTTTGAATGAAACCCCCGAGGAGCAGAATGTTCTATTTTTAGAGTGCTGAAACCTTGAAAAGCATCAAATATGAGAAGATTAAACAATCAATCGCAACAATTTTCTGTCAGTTGACTCCTCGGTTGACTAATCATTTCAGCACACGTCGGTGTCCTGCCCTGTGGTTCCCATCAGAAGATGCTCCAACTCCCAACACATGACTTTGTCCTATGTGCTTTGTCACATGTAGGTCTCTGTATTGAGCTACAATTTAAGTCATAAAAAGGCTCATTGTGAAACAAACAGGCATAAAGGAGGGTATTCTCTTGACTTGCGCATATTACATGGAGTAGTGTGGGACTGTAGGCCATGCAAGCCCCTGGGGGTGAGCTGAAGGCCTGTGTTGGTGCTTGGTGCTGGCTGGACACGGCTAGCTAATCATTCCCAGCCTTTGGTAGTTTGTGCCAGGCCCTTGAGATAATGCGCCTGTTTGTTTTATACAAACATGGAGCCAGTTAATTGCTTGTTTATGCTTTGTGATTTAAAGAAGCTAGAGAATGAATCGAATAACCTTCCTGTTTTAACTTTCTCGAGGGGTGGGAGAGGACAGACAGGGGTCAGATGTGGGCATAGAGACATGGAGGACGTATTATTGTTGACTTTTCCTCTCAAAATCATTCACTGCAGATGTGCACTGATTAACATTTGCAGGGACCGGGTTTGTTGTTGTGTCGCCAGAGTGGGAAAACTTGCGAAACAGTTCATGTTACATACATTATGTCACAGTATTTCGTGTTATTGTCAACATGGAAGTTATTGACAATAACACGAATTACCAAGGGACTTGTTTTCTGTTTTTGGATTGCTCCTCTGAGCTTTCTCACCCTCCCCGTCTCCCTGCCTCTGTCCTGGTTACACTGGCTCTCATGCATTTGTTTTGCATCACATTTGCACCGATGCATCTCGTGTGCACATTTAGAAGGCGTATTCATAGAGAAGCATTTAGAATGAAACCTGGGGGAAAACCTTCTGTTTCAGTGTGTAGTGTACACTTTGATAACAACCAGTTAGCAGTGCTCGATCTTTTGGGCTGTGGTTGTGGTGATTTTAATTTTTTTTTTTACGGTTTATGCTGCGGCCTTGGTTTGGTGAGTTAATTAGTGTTAGCCACAGAACTGAATGTGTCACTGGCCGTACCACTGTAGTAGAAATGGTGCACTGTCATCCTCTGCCTGCCTTTCTGCCTCGCCTCCTTCTATTCTTGCAGCCTCCTTACCCTGCTGTCTTACTCGTCATCCAGACCTGGCCCTGGTCTGCAGTGTGTGTGTGCGTGCATGCGTGCGTGTGTGTTGGAACATGATGTCATTGCTAATTGCTCAGGGCTCTAGTGCTGTTCAAGTTGGTTTATATTCTGCCCCTCTCCCTGTTTCCTGCCCCTCTCTCCTCACTTCATCCCCCTTTCCCTCGTCATTTGCTCTCCCTCCCTCCCTGCCGTAGGATTTCTATACAACATCAAGAGTTGCTGAGTATGGAAAAAGTGACTCGGACATTTATGGGCCAAGTTTTGGGCCAAGCACTGCAGACTGTTTCTCTGTGCTTATGTGTGCGTGTTTGTTTAGCTTTAGTGTTATGAAAAGTGCCTCAGTTTCAAGATGGCTGTTTCTCTGCATAGGTAGATTCTATCACCTCTGATGGGCAGAATAAAGCAGACACAAACATGCATTCACACAAACTGTACACAGTGCACATGTACATGAGATAAAATTGCAATTCGGTAGTGTAAGGTGTCAAATTGTGAGGCTGTGAGCATGCCAAACACCCCAAAATACCTCTCCTTATCTGCGCTGGCCTCAAAGAGCTCTGCAGATTGGATATAATTATGCTGGTCGGACTATAAATGTGTGCGCCTGTGTGTGTCGCGTCGGGACTTTCTTGCCTTGCAGCACCAACCTGTTAGTCTGTGTGTGGTCGAGGTCATGTACAACAGCTGACGAGAAGGGATGGTGAAAGTGTGCATGCGTGTACATGCTTGTGTGACTGTGTGTTCCTGCGTAGGTGTCTGCGTGTGAGTAATCAGATAAAAAGCATGGAGATCCGTTACCACCACCCTTCTTTCCCAGCAAAACAATACCGCCGGCCTGCCCTTGACCAAACAAGTGTGTGTAGGCATGTGCATATTTGTGTGTGCGCAGAGTTCGACCAGATTGGACAGATGAATGATGAATTAAGGACAGCAGAGAGTAGATTCATCCCAGGCTGTCAAGTTGGCAAGATAACCACACTACAATTTGTTTGTGTGGATGTATGTGCGGTAGTGGGCCGGGAGACTGTATGTGTGTGTTGTCAATCTCTTTCTCAATCTTATTCTCTTCACTTTCAGCCCCCTATCGATGCCTCTCAATAGGGTTATTGTGCCCACTGTCAAGCGGGCTGCAGTCTGTGTGTGTGTGTGTGTATATGCATTGTTGTTGCAGGGAGCAGACAGCCGTGAGGTGTGTTTGAACAGGGAAGGAGCACAGAGGCCCTGTTCATCCTGTAGGGTGTGAAACTGAGCAATAGGGCCCCCTTTCTCTCTTTCCACCTGTCCCTCTGTCTGTTTGTCTCACTGTGTTTTGCCTTTTTTTTTTTTTGCGAGTTTTTCACCCACGCGCTCGTTCCTTATCGCCTTCTTCTTGCTCAGCTTTACTTTGGGTCTTTGTTTTCTTTTTGTACGTGGGTCTGTCTGTGCGTGTGAGCGGTGCAGTGTAATGTGTCAGCTCCTGGCAGCCCTCACTGATCGACTGTCTTCTCGCTGTCAAGTCTGCCTTGTGATTGGGTCGTCAGTATGCATGTTATTCTGCCTACAAATTACCTGTGGAAGCAGGCGAGGACGGACGAGGTTTCCACTTTTTAAAGGAAACTCACCGCGCCGACAAAAGATTTGCGCTCCCGCTGAGGGCACCCATACACACACACTTTCTCCCTGGCTCTTTTGTTTATATGTTTCTGTTTCTGATGTTGTCTTTTCCACATCGCTGCACTTTCACATGCATACCCCCATCACTCCCAGTTCAGCTGCATAAGGGTTTTCAGCCTCTCACTCTGACATCTCCTCTCTCTCTCTCGCTCTCTCTCTCGCACTGACTTTCAAACACATACACATAGTCATATGCTATGAAAGCTAGAATGTGATGAAAGAGGCTGTAAAAGCTAGAGGCCTAGGTGCCTCTGTAAATTGGCCTACTACTGTGAGTTCAAGGATTTTCTGCTGTGCTGTCTCAAAACAAGGATTGACTTAGAGTCTCTTATGCTCTATCCTCGATGCAAGAACTACCTGAGCAGATAGACAGGTGTTCATCTGTTAACAGGTAACTATAATGCACAAAAAAATATCCAGGAGGAAGGAATCCTTGTACTGTGATAGCAGAGCATGCCAAGTAAAATATTTGCAGTACACTGATAAGTGGAAAGTAGAGCTGAAGCAATCAACTGATTATTGCTCCAGGCATTTTACAAGGAAAAAAAAAAAGAAGACTTCTAGACATTCTTAGGATCCAGCTTCTCAAATTGCAGGAAATGCTGCCTAACTACAGTAGTATAGTGAAGTGAATACTCCATATATTCCAGGGATAAACACTAGTAATTAGTACTAAAACATATTCAACCCTCATGGTGTTGCCCTTTCATCATTCAAATCCCTGCAGTTTCTGGGCAAAAATGCAGTTGCACCAAGGAGTGCTGAATTTATTTAATTTTTTTCAGAATCTAGTCAGAGCAAGCAGTTTATTTTAATGAACTGTGTAGAATAAAGTGACTTTGATGAAAACTCAAATTTTATACTTAGATTGGGCTATGTTTTCCAACTGAATAACACATCACAGATGAGTGGTTCAAGGACCGGCAAA